AGCAGTGCCGTTATTGGAAATAAGATGATAGTTTGCAAAGTTAACTTTTGTCGTATGTTTTATGGTTAGCGATGCTCGAGCGATTCGTTCCAGAGTTACATGTACAGCCCTCCGCAAACTGCGTGGTAGGTAGGTATTCTTATTCGGTATTCTTGCTATTTTGACAATGTACCAGTTTTTGTGACCTTGTGACCTGGCCTCGGGTCACTAGAACCTAAAACTCCAAGGCCAAGTGACAAACAGATGCTCCAAGTCGTGTCTTAACCCTCGCATGTGTGCGGCGTTTGCCAGCTTCTAATGTGTAGGGGGGGGGGGGTCGGTTGGACCCCCCCCCTTGCCGTTTGGCCCCTGATCAAGCTAGAGCTTCGCGGAAAAAAACGAGCGTGTTGCCCGTGACGAGAGGAAGCCGATGATACCTAATTTTAAGGTCCTAAGTCATTGGTTGACCTTCCAGGTCAGGTCAATGACCCAAAGTCGGGAAAATCGGGACCTATTAGAAAGTCGTAAAGTGTGGCTGCTAAGGGGTTTTTCGGGGTGCTGATCACGAATATCGTGTTAGTTTTGATCACAGATGATGTCTTTAAGCATTTAGACCAGGTCGGGTCAGGTCAGGTCAGGTCAACCAGTAGGGGTTGTGACGGGTGTTCGTAGTACCTGTCAACCGCCTCTGACAGCTTCGTAACATGTTACGAAGGCACCAAAACTACTTCGTAAATGTTCAAATGGTTGCTAAATTGGAATTCAGCTCCACAAACTAGCCTAGAAACATGTAAAACTCGAAAAAGTGAACCGAGGTCACCCGAGGTCACCAAAGGTCAATGACCTGACCTGACCTTCAGGTGACCTTGACACCCACCCTAATGCATGGGAGCAACATCAAATCATATGTTTGAACGTTTGAAACCACGAAAAGCTTGCAAACGCGCGGCTAATGCGAGCCGACATACGCGGAATCGCGATTCCGGCCAAACATGGTCTCGGAAAAGAGGTCACAGGTCAAAGGTCATTTGGGTCAGGGTCATGAAATTTTCAGGGTAGGTGTAAAATTGATCAATGCGAGGGTACTGAAAGTTTCATTGCGATCGGCCGCTTTTTACGCGAGTTATTCGCGAAAAACCATGGGGGGTCCATCCGACCCCCCTACACATGCGAGGGTTAAATTTGGTAGCGCTACGTGCTATAGAACTCACGCTATCAACGAAAAACTCTGGCATTCGGTTGCCGCTAAACTACATAGTCCAATTTTCCCCTGACCTTGTACGGGGTTTGGGACCTGGTGACCTGACCTGAAAAGACTAGAGACCTGAAATTTTTAGGACAAGTGCCAAAAGGTTGCCCCAGAGGCCCAGAGGGTATGCTAAATTTGAGCGCCGCCGTTTTTACGTTATTTGTGAAAAACCTTAGGGGGGTGCATCAACCCCCCTCACCGGGCGAGGGCTAACTAACATAATACATTGTAGTAAAGGCTACCCGAACCGGTAATAATTCTTGCTTATTTGTTTAGCTCAGCCGTATTTAGGGATTTAGCTGGCTTTGTCCATGAATAACAATATCGGCAGGGGCGTAGCCAAGGGGGAGGGGCCACGGGGGCAATGGCCCCCTCCCTTGAGCGCAAAACGCGCCATGGGGGAGCCCCTCAGGCCCCGGGATATTTTTTTTCAAACACTGGATAAAACGTCTTTTACTCGGAAGAAAATTGATATCGAAGTTTCATTTCTGTGGCCCTCTGATGACCCAATGGGCCCCTGCACTCATCCGATGACCCCCGGTTTCCTGGGGCCCCTGGTCGCCTAGAGGGCCCCGGTCGCTTGGGGGCTAGTCGCCTGGGGGCCTGGTCGCCTGGCCCCTGCCCCCTGGTCGCCTGGAAGAACGCTTGTCACCTGCAGTGGCATAGCCAAGGAGGGGGCCAAAGGGACCATGCCCCCCCCTGGAAGCCAGGGGTCCTTATTCTATAGGGGCCCTGGCTGACACAGTGGGCCCTTGGTGACGCAAAGGCCCCTGCGGCAGATCCTTTGACACAGCTGAGTAGTTATACTTTGGCCAAGAGAGCCCCAATTTTAGAGCCTTGGGGCCCTATTGAAACCAGGGGGCCAGTTGGATGGGATGGGTCCAACTTGGGTCCAACGGTGTGTAAACAGAATCAATGCGTTCCGACTGTTGGTCTGACCCTATATCGGTTTGAGGGAGCTCGGATCGGATCCATTGTCGATCTGAGGGGCCCCTATCGGTTTGAGGAGGCACTCAAATGACCTGAACGGGTCCTTAGTTTGTCTGAGAGAGCCCTCCGTCGGCATGACTGGGCATCTGCAAGTGCAAGGAGGGCTTTTGTCGGTCTTAGTGGCCCTTAGGCGGCTTATATGACCCTCAGACGGCTTACGAGGCTCTCATGCGCTGTAGGGGCCTGTGACGGTCTGAAGAACCCTTATCCGACCTACGGGCCCTCAGACCGCCCTCAAAACCGACTGGCGACTCTATGAAGCTATTCGTGGGCCTATCTAACAGGGCCCATGGACTGCTTACCCCCTCAGTTCTAATATTTTTTGTTAATAAATATTTTTCTATTTATTTGGGCCCCCTCCAAAAAAAATATTGGATCCAACCAGATGGCTTTTTGGATTTTTAGGGGGTTATTTTGGGCCCCTGTGCGTTTGGCCCCCTCCTTGAGGAAATTCTGACTACGCCCCTGAATATCGGGCAACCAGAAAACTTTTTTTTTGACCTTCAAACAGCCTCCAGTTTGCTTAAGACCAGAAAGGTAGTACCGGACGTCCGGCCGGACCAGAATTTTTGCATTTGCTTCTCACTTCTGGGTGGGCAAATCGACGCCACTGGGTGGGCAATTGTGGTGACTGGGTGGGCATTTGCCCACCCAGTGGGTATGTTAGAGGAGGCCCTGAGCACATGGTCACAGTTATATTCAATCTCCACATAAACATACAACAAAAACGGCCATATAGCCTAACTCCGAACACACCACAGATAACTTAAGCCTTTGAAGGCACAAAAATGTTTTGATTAACAGGACAGGTTTACAATATATCCTCTGTCCTTGGGGGATCTTGCTGCCAAGTTGAGGTATGGTGACTGAACTTCAGGATTGATCAACCTTTTCTTAGCTACTACTTATATACGAGAAAGACCAAATGCTTGTTTGTTTTGATTTACAGGACATGTATACAATATATCCTCTGTCCTTGGGGGATCTTGCTGCCAAGTTGAGGTACGATGACTGCCTTGCGATGACTGAACTTCAGGATTGATCAACCTTTTCTTAGCCACTGCTTATAAACGAGAAAGACCAAATGCTTGTTTGTAAACTGCGTTGAAAATTTAATGATCCACCTTCAATTCTGACATGAAGGCACAAATGAAATAGTTCCCTCTCCTTTTGGAATACACAAAGCAAAATATTTAATAAATTTTAGTGGACGGACAAGAGCAATTAGCATAATAGCTTTCCCTCAAGTTAACTTCTGGCACTGTTGATGAATTACACTGACGCTTATTCGCTTCATATTTTGTAACAAACGCGCTTAAACTGCAATATAACAGCACTATATGCTTCTTGACAATATGCAATAGTATTAAAAATTTAGCCCTGATGGCATTCATTCTTGGTGGAAACGTAATTACAAAATATTTTGTAGTAACTATTAAATTCCGGCCGAAAACAGTGCACGGTTTAAAAAAGAATCATTTCAATGACGGTCCATTCTTGCGGTCCTGAAATCGCCACTATTTCCGGCCTCTCCAACGCAACTCGTTGTCCAGACGTAAATATGCTGCCCGACGCCTGTTTGCAGGTGAGCCCACTACAGTTGTTATACATATCTAAAAACCGAAAAACTTTTAGGCGAAAAAGGCACTATTCCAGGCCCATTTTTGATTTTTTTGCGATATTAGGTAAAAACAGAAGCTTCTTATCCTAGGAAAAATAAAATGGGAAATCTTTCAAAGGTGGCACACTACCTTTAATTTCCAACTACCGATCAACGGGGATGGGTGGTTTGGCGGCATGATGGACGACGGTGAGAACAGGGCGCCTGGGGCGATTTGATCAAGGTTCGTGAAATTTACACGTGACGTTTAGCATGTAGATTGTAGAAGGCACACGAAGGGGGAGAAGCTACAAATGTCACGTGACTAATATGCCCTCCGGCGCCCTGTTTCACCGGCGTCCATGATGTTGGGTGGCTATGAAAAGCTTTTACAAACATTATGCCTAAAAAACATTTCAGAAAGCGGCTCCCGCACAAAGCGTTTCATTTTATGGTTTTGCTCTATGGAGGCTTATCCGTCGACCGCGAACCAAAATAAGGGCAATTTGTCTTTGACCTCGGAAAAGTGTCTGGTCACCTGACCTCTGGGCTCTGCTGGACCAAAAATAAATCAGCCTGACCTCACCTGACCCTAGCTTCTCCAAATGTGTCACGAGACAAATTTTGAAATAAATCCAAAATGCCACAGACTTCGTTTCCAAGAAGTTCTAACAGATTCGGACTGTGAACTGTGTCGACGAATGACCTGACCATAATATCAGATACCACCGGCTTCATGTTGTCTAGGCCAGCATCTTCATTTTTCGTGAAGCTCTTATACTCGGTCAGGAACCGATCAGCTGTAGGAGTCCGATCGACCCCCTCCCCCTCCCCTCCCCCCGGCCTCTAGGTACATTAGCTGCTGTAAATACGCCAATAAGGACAAGGGTGGACCCGAAGAAGAGAAAGTTGAATACTAAACACACTAATATGTCCAAAATAAGCTATGGATTTACTTGGGGTACTCCTAAGGATATTCGATGGGTAGTCTTGGGATTTGAGACGAGAATCCTGGGAAATTCTGGTCGAGATCTTGGGATGGAGCAAAAATGTGGATGGCATCACTGATGATGAACGGTAGAACGGCATAGATATTCCCTGAATTAAAGTTTTGTTTTGTATACCTTATCATGGTAAGTCAAACTTATTCATAATTAAGTGTAAAGGTACCTACATGGAATGTCGTTTTTAATTTAACTTCCCTCTTTGCCAGCATTGACTAATTAAGTAGGTAGGTACCTATTACCTGCATCATTTCATGCCTAACTGTGGCTTCAGCTACTGTGTGTGTGTGTGATAATAATGACTGCCTTTATTTTCAGCATGGTGACAGTTCTATTAATTTCCTTCTGTATACACTTTCAATATGAATGCAGCTGAAGAATGTCTAGTTTGCGGTGTTGCCGAGCCTCAACAATACGAGGAAAATAATGTAAGTATGCAGTCATGGATGAAATGGTCTTACACTGCTATTGTGTATCACATTTTGATGAAACAATAACCTAGGTTGCTGTGTTCTCCTGGGTACTTCTTTCAATATTTTAAAGCATGATTTTTTTCAGTGTTTTGTAATGGCCTTACGTACCTGTTGTAATAAATGAACAAGAAAATGAGTAGGTAAGCACCTATATTTTTAAACTAATTCCTAACTGGCAATGACTATAGTCAATCATTAATTTTTGTTCAGCAATATAGATAACTGTTTTTTTTTTTAATTTGGGTCAATCGAGTTTGAATTCATGCCTGAAAATATGTCAAGAAATACTTTCAATGAATTGTTGTGCCTTCCAACTGTGAACTGACCACAGGGTAGGCACTATCAATAACCCTTCATTTTCCAGGCCTCCTTGCTGCCAGTCTTGGCTGGACTCCTGGGACAGGATCTGGAGCCTGCCCACATGTCCTCTTGCTCCCTGTGTCAGAGGTGCCACCACATCCTGTCAGAGGCTGGCTCACTGCAGCAGAGACTGGGTCAACTCAAGGAGGCCATTTTGAGTGTCTACAGGTAGGTTAACAGGTGATTTCTGTTCTTTGTCTTTCTCGCAGCTCTGCTTTTTGTGTCCATTTCTGAACCCATTATATTTGGGAAGGATTCTCTCCTTGAATGTGAATCTTGTTTTCATATAAGTTATATAACTGTTAGAGATTTAACAGTAGCTTTGGCATATGCCTTTGATCTTAATGCTTAACTTATTTTAACTCTTTGTTCTTGATTTCCTGGTTGTATTCAAGTGCATCTATTCTAACAGACATCTCATTTTTTCAGGCCAGTGAAATATGATGGAATCACCCAGGTGCCACTCGACAATCACAATGGCAGCTGCTCTTTGCCATTGTCATCCCAACTACCTGTATCAGATCCAGCGACCTCAACAGCCAGTAACCATCCTACTCAACATTCCATGACAGTGGAAGCTACATTGTCATCTACTCATTCCTCACATGAAGGTGTCACTGAGCTAGCAAGAAGTGGCTCATCGTCTTCAAACACATCAACCATGACCTCAAATCAACCATCAATGGCATTATCGGGAAGACAGGACATACCCGCCAAAAAGTCCGGAAAGCCCGCGAGCACCGCGAGAAGGCTTCCCTGTCCGATCTGCGGAAAATCTGTAACGGCACGGTATTTACGGGACCATCAGCGGCAGCATTCGGGTGAACGACCGTTCCCATGTACCTTGTGCTCTCGCTCTTTCGCCAAATCGAGCGACCTTTCCACCCACCTCCGCCGTCACGCGGGTGACCGTCGCCATCGCTGCTCGCTTTGTCCAGCGGCGTTCTTCTTCCCCCACGAACTGGCAAACCATCGTCACACCCATGGCGATACGAGGCCTCATCTGTGCGCAAAGTGTGGCACGGGATTTCTCAGTCGGGCGGGACTTCTGCGTCATCAGCGTGCCAACCATCCCGAGTCACGCGCGGGAGACACCTCGGATGGCGCGAGCGTTCCGCGCGAACCGCGCTACAAGTGTGCCGTCTGTGAGAAGACGTTTACCTGTGAGCAAAGCCTGAAGCGTCACGAAAGGGCGCACGGAGCCGGGAAGAGCTACATGTGTGAGCTGTGTGGTGTGACGTACAAAACGAGCACGGCGCTGCGGTTCCACACGAGGAGGCACCACAGCGGGGAGCGACCCTTTCAGTGTCAGGTGAGTCCACAGGGGGTTGTACGGATCAGCAGAGGGGAAGGGATCATTAAATGGTGGGGAGGTTTGGGCTCTTTGGTCATTGCAACCACAGGTTTCCCGTGATGTAGCTGGAATGATGTACTGTTTGTTTTGTCATTCATGTAGTTAGTTTCTTTCGTTGAATTGTTGAAAGGGACTGTAAAAATATTTGTAATATCACGGAAGCTGGTTAATGGATGCATTTTTCTCGATCGATATGCGCCTTTGCAATCTGCATTGCTTCATTTCCTTCCTAGCATCGGCTCAAATTGTCCCTGTTCCATCGGCTCTTGTAAATCGTTCCTTCAGCAAAAGGAGTCTTCGACGTCAACATCCTGAAGCGTTATTATTTCACTCCGTTTGACATGCTGTCTTGTTTCCTGGTATCCTTCATCAAGAGACTAACAAGTCAGCTCTCAGTGGGTGAGTCTTGAATCGCTGGTGAGCCTCCAAGACTATGGAGAATCATTCCAGTCACTCGCTCCCCGTTTCGAATTTCGAAGTCGTCACCAATCCGCTTCCGATCTCTTCAATCTGCTCCTGATTGTCACCAGCCTACTCCTGATCGTCACCAGTCCGCTCTTGATCAACTTGAGGCGCTTTTCCTGGTTTTGCATCGAGTTCCTTCCATTCTTACTCCACTGACGATTTTCTGCGCATGCGCCTCAGGTGTGCGGCTGCCAATTCATCACGCGTTCTGTGTGGCTTCGGCACCTCCGCGTCCACACGGGCGAGATGCCGTTCCGGTGCCAGTTCTGCGGCACAGACTACAAGGACAAGCAGAAGCTGAAGCGACACTACTCCAACAAGCATGCCGCCGATGTGGAACGAGTTGGAGTGGAGAATCTGAAGTACAGTGCTGCTGAGGTGGCGCCTGTGACTGCTACAGGAGGTGGTGGGGTGGACCGGGCGTCAGAAGGGCAAGGCGTGAGCTCCGGTGCGTCGGGAGATACACAGCAGTCGCTTGGGGCCATTGTGGAAAGAAACGCGGAAGGGTCTGCTTCTGGTCAAAGCGCTTCTGATTTTGATCAAGGTGGGGTTCAGATCGAGGTCGGTGGTTCCATTTGGACTTCGGAGCAGTGGAAGGAAGCGGAGAGCGTTGGACAGGAGTATAGCGATACTAGCGCCACAGTGGCAGACCCGGGAACTGTTAGTGAGCTGCAGGCTCAAGAGATGTCGGCTGTCGAAATGATGCCAGATTCTTCAGTTTTGACGCAAGGAATGTTATATGAGGCGCATACGGCGCTTTTTAATTACTTTTGATTGTGACTGAAAGGGTTTAACTAGCCTGAACGAGATTAAATACGTTAAATCAAGTGATCTTATGCGATCGTTCACTCTCCGAAAATCCGTACTATCGCGCCACTTTTAGAAAGAGTTAAAGAAATGCTTACCTTGCTTTGGAGATTTGTACTGCATCAGTTAAGATCCAAGAAACATTCCTATACTATTATGCTACTTATAGTGATTTGTTGCATCAAAAATGTATTTGCAACAGAAGCGAGATGGAATTATATAATTATAGGAAGACATTATTTTACTCAGGAACATGGAAGCATTTATGTGCTAAGCTGTGCCTCTAGCTAAGTACTTAGCTATGTCCATTAAATTTATAGTGACGGGGTACTGGGGAATTCCATTGCAACTGTTGTGGACAGATATTTGTCGTCAATTCTTTGCGCACATATCAACCAAGGCAGTTGGTCAGTGCGCCATCTTTTATAATCTCCCACTTTGTAGCGTCATTTTTGTTTGTGTTTAAATTATGGATGGTGTAGTATGATCCTTTTTTGTGGAGAAGTTGTGCTGTGATTTACCTCAGACACTATTTTTGATAGTATGACTTGTAATGCGACTCTTGTGCCTTTGACGCACGGTTTGCAGCCTATCTCTTTACATATCGAAAGCGTGTTGCTAATATGTGTCCGTGTTCAACTTTTTGTGATTTGATTATGAGTGTGTATGTGAATGTGCGGGTCCATTGCGCTACACTCAATTTCGTAAGCTATTTAACAATATTTGTTAAACATTGTTACGTGATTTGAGATGTGCCTTACTGGAGGCTTTGTGAGTCTGTTAGGCTTAACGCCCGTTGAAGGAGGGTTTCTCGGTAGGTATGTGTCATGATTCATTTCTGGGAAGGTTTGTGATGGCAAAGTTGTTGGACCACTGCTTTGTCCTACCGGTAAAACTAATTTTAAAATCGTCACTATCCCGTGCTCTCTGTAATATGTGATTTCGATTGGCTGTTAAAACAAAAAACTATGAATTTTGCATATTTTCCATGTTTTTTATCATAAACCAGATCACGTGTACTCTCGTTTTCGAATTGACATTCACCAATATATGGACATTATTTGATTAGGGCTTCATAAATATTTTATTTTTATGCGTCAAATGAAGTGAAGCAATGCCCGTATTTCATTTACGATCGTTTGAAGTTTGAACTTTGCATTTAAAGCATAAAATACCCATGGTTGTTTCAAAATACAAGCTCAATTGCATGCAGTCTGTGTGTACGCACCGCTCATTTCGGCAATCAGGCTGATGTGATGTCTACTAGTTTCTCCGAAGCTCATAGCTGACCAAATATAGAACTGACGAGCTCACGCTGCTTTTGTATTGATTCGCCTTCTGGTATCCTGCATTTAATCAGCTCGTTCATCATTGCTGGATGCTCTACTGACCGCAATTTCGGTACGATTGCTCGACCTTCAAGTTTGGACGGCGGAATGGATTTAGCATTGGTAAATCATCGATTCACCAAGTTCGCCGACGTACTTTATCAAACTTTGGCTGACTAGGCTCAAAGATCGCATTGAAACCAGCATGAATGAGTGTCGTTATAAAAGCAGCTCCTCAAAGTTTAGCACAGTACCAGTAAATATGACATTTCCACACACTGTGCTTACCTTTGGCGTCACCAACCATAGACTACACCGAACAATAGCCGGTCTCGTACCTACCTTAGAGAGTTCGTCATACAATAACTATTGTCCAATCAACGTCTAGGGCCATGCCGACCAACAATGTCCTGGTTGATGTGCTTGGGACGGACTGCCGTGCATCAGATGGTCGATCGATGCGTCCAATGGACTCTGTCCATCGCAACTGCTAGTTGATTATGGTTGGTTCATGAATAACGTCGCTGACATGCAACCATAGCAACCGGTACACAAATATTGTGCCACGGGGTTTAGTCAATGTAGTGAGGGAACGGAGATTATAAACCCAAGGCCCCATTAATATCATTCCAGATGGTGTTTCATTCAAACTTGTTCCGGCCGAGCCAAAGAAGCCGACTGGGTAAATACCTATATTATTATTATTAACTCTTTTAGTTATTGCCGATACTTTAAAAACATATGCTTCCCTTCTTGGTTTTTCACGTCAAGCTTAGCGATATTGTCGAGCGTCGATGCCTATCTGACGCTGTCGGTTGACTTTCTAAAGAAGTTGTATAATGTAGGCATTAGGTATGCAAAAGCGCAAGTCCAATTTATATTACGATCTTCTGCTAAATGTTTCACTGGTAACAAGGTTCTCCTTTCTACAGGGAGCTTGTTCATTTCTATCGTCGAACGTACGCCTTGTCTAATGCATGTGCATTGTGCAATGTCACTAACGGTAACCTAGAAACCTCCAACACCTGTTTTAGGGCCTTGTCCAACACCAGGGGCGTCGAAGTCTAGTTCCTACCAACCTGGCACTCCCATGCCTACGTCACCACGAGGACGCCCGAGGGCATTTACATGTTGAAGATAGGGAAATTGCCATAGTTTAGAGCCGCCTGAAGGGCAACCTTGAGATAGATGGTAATGTAAATGTGTGCCAATATGATCATCAACATGTTATTTATCCAAATCCAGGGCCAATTAATCGATAACCTGTCACGTTTTCCAGTGGTGATGCGCTAACGTTCGTGGTTCTTTCAGCCAATAAGGGTGTTTCATAGTGCGATTCAGACGCATTATCGACTTTAATGCCATAAACCGCCACGGAACATACGATTTGCAGCTCCCTGGCGTGATAGCTGCCAGTAGGGCTCCGGAGTCGGAGTCATGAAGTCGGTCGGAGTTCACAGTTCTGACCTGAGTCGTCAAGTCGGAGTCAGAGTAGATTTTAACCCGCGCCCTGCTGGGGGGGGGGTGTTTGAACACCCCCCCCCTTGTGGTTTTTCGCGAATATCTCAAAAACGGCGGCGCGGAGCGCCGCCGTTTTTGGTACACCTTATCATACATCAATTCTACACTTGTTGTGAAAATTTCAGACCAAGGTCATTCAAGGTCAGGTCACCAGGTCACTTGAAGTGACCTCACCTCATAAAAAAGTTTCAATGTCTGTCATAGCTACACCGAGTGACCGATCGCTTTGAAACTTTCAGCGATTGCTAAGAGCAATAGCACGTACAAAATGTATATCTCAGAATTTTGATATCGATGACCTAAGGTCAGGTCAATTTTGCGACCTCCCCATTATAAGTCAATGGGAGAAAATTGAAATGCGCCTCTTTTGGACGAAAGACATTATAAACACTCCCAAACACCGAATTACAAGTGGTTTAGACACATTGAACATGAAAATGGTGTCCGTGACCCTTGTTTATGCCCTGAGGTCATCTTAGGTCACGTTTTTCTAACAGTATCTAACAGTTTTTCGCAAATAACTTTTGATAGAGGCATGCTAGAGCGATGAAAACGCCTTGGATGTGTTCATCTCGACGATACGGATCGACTGATATGCAACATGACCCTTTCCGGTCAGGTCATGACCTTGACCTGAGGTCAAATTTTCAAGTTGACCTTTCAAGGTCAAGTTATAGTTTTTTCGATGCGTCTTGACGAGAGGAACACGATGCCGGTAAAATTACGCTCGTACAAGGCTTGGGTCAAAAGTTATTGCAGAAAAACTATTTCCGAAAAAATCGGCTATTTTTGCAGTTTTTGCCCCCTGCAGGCAAAACCGTTGACGTTAGGTCAAATCTGAGAGAATTACTCAGAAAGGGCGTTAATAGGGCTATCGAATGCGCTTTTCCGCGGCGCTGTAGCTCTATTGGTTCCCGAGTTATGCGTTGGCTTCTTGGAAATTTTCGACATTCGACCTGGAAATCGGCGAAATTTTGCCTTCAATGACCTCTGGTGACCTGACCTTTGACCTGACCAAAAAATTGACCGAAGTGATTTCGTCATTATTTTTGACGCTCTTTCGAACGCCGCCTTCCGCGTATCGCTACGTGGCCCAGGAGCCGAGTTAGAAGGGGGGGGGGGGTGTTCAGACACCCCCCCCCCCCCAGCAGGGCGTGGAAATCCAGGACCCCCAGCCGGGCGGCGAGTTACCTAAGTGTGGAACTACCCAGCGCCGAGCCGGCCGGATGACGTCACACCACGGCCAGTGCCGGCGCGGCGGCAGACTGGCCGAGATTGGCATGGTCTTAACTTGGCGAAGAGGCATCGGACGCCAAACTTCTGCTGCAGCTATTAATCATATTTCATGCGTTTCTTCCATGTGTATGAGCTATCAAGTCCTTCGAATACCTACCTAATGTGTAGGTGAGCGTACCTGCATTTAGCAGTGTGTGCTATGCTATGTGGATGGGCACATCCGACAGTCGACACACTGCGCAATGGATTCCGATATTGCTTGGCTGATTCTGACTTTGTGTCTTCGAACGAACCATTGAAAAGGAGGACGTCATTTTTAAAGGTTGTTAGGTGCACTCAAACGTTTTAAGATAAGCAACTGCTGATTGAATTTCTGGCGAGGGTTGGTGGAACGCTCTGTTTACAAATGAGTATCTACCTACCTAGTACCTACCTGCAGTGGCAAATAACTGGGTCGCGGTTAGTTAGGTATGATTCACGAAGTCCCTTATCTTTTATTAGACTTATTAAGCCCAATGTGCAACATTTGCGTCTTTTCGCGTTGTATCGGGTAGCAAATGAGAAAATCTGCTTCTTCTCCACAGCCCTCAATTCAAGAAACCGTCCTTTTCCTTATCGCATCATTCCAGAACATAATTTTCAAACATGGGTATCTTCCCCACAAAAAAAAAAAACTGAAGCAGTTTCCTTCGGCTCCAATGCGCCGCTCGCCTAGGGAGACGGAAGTGTTATATTCTCGGCGGCCCAGTCTGCATTCTGCATCACACTCAAACTTGGCGGACCCCCAGCGCACGACTGAACGATTCGTATTGTTGTGCACAATTCACTGGTGGTTTCGGAATAATTAACAGGCGGCGCAGCCCAGTGCCTCTTACAATGAATTACAGTGGCGAATGCACTATTGCAGAGAAGAAATGGATTGAGCAGATGCCCAACCTCGCTGTATTATCAACTAAACATTAGGTACGCTTTACATTTTAATCAGGCCATCATGTAAACAAACGACTTGCGAGTTGCGACCCTTCCGCCTTACATAACTCGGCAGAATGCCCCTGAGTCGGCTAAACTACACTGCATCTCTTCAAACCTGAAGTATTTTACAATTTACCACTCAGCTATGCAACAGGCTTATAATTCACTGCTCAAGTCTCAACCCCTTTTTCCCTATCATCTTTTTGGCACCGTCAATCGCCATCTGCGCTGCCCAGTGCCCACTGTCCAGCAAATAATCCGGCCGTCTCCAGTTCTCTGGCAGGGGCTTCCAAACTCAAGCGAACTCGCCGAAGTTTCGCCATTCAATGCGCAGGATCTGTACAATTGAGTTTGAGAGCCTCTGGGTTGGCTCGGCGCGCCTGCGCCGCGCCGTTGGTCCGGCCAAGTACGCGAGTGACGTCATGCTATAAGCGTCATCCCCCGACCAAAGTCACCAATCAGAGCCCTAGAATCGACTTGTAGTTCCACACTTAGGTAACTCGCAGCCGGGCGCGGGTTAAAAGCCTGGAGTCTGAGTCAGTCACCGAAATTCGATCCCCTCCGCATACCTTTCAGGGTTCCGTAGTCGGAGTTGTAGTCGGTCGGAGTCGACAGTTCTGACCAGAGTCAGTGTCAGAGTCGATTTTGAAAGCCAGAGTCAGAGTCGGAGTCACCAAAAAAACATTGCCTCCGCAGACCTGCTAGGGCGGTGGAGTCGGAGTCAGTCAGAGCCGACATTTGAAATCAAAGTCAGAGTTGATTTTTGAAAGTCTGAGTCAGAGTCGGAGTCATCAAGAAACCCATCGACGATCCGCAGTACCATGCAGTAAGGGCGCTGCCGATCGATGCCCCTGAATTGCCTATGAATTGAATGAATAGATGACAATTAATTAGGTAGGTACCTTCTATCATTCATCCCCTGCCACTTGGAGGACTTACTTTCAGTAGAAAAAGACGCATTATTTTGTTTGTTTATTTATTGACAAATATTTTTTGAGCAGTTAGGGATACAGACATAAAACACTATGATAGCACCTCACTGGTGCAAATAATTGCTAGATAGATGTTGAGATGTGTTGCCATTGAAGAATCTACTGATTTTCCTGGCGGCTCTCGTTTTCAAGTAGGTAACTACTGGTCTTGTAAGATCT